GTTACCCAAATCACTTTTGGTTTACAGACATCATTGCCAATTTATCTATGGATATGTGTATGTGTTGGATTTGGGGGAATAGTTTCAATTTCAAACCCTGTGTCCTATTGTTAGGCTGTAAGTCAGGCCAGGTATCCTGGTATCTTTAGTTCTAAAAATTCTCCTCATAATGGCATATGGTTCTACTTGCACTTATGATTTTTTTTAATTATTAAAAATCTTTCCACTATAAAAATAATGTCATCACATTAAAAACTTTTGGAAAAGTAGGAAGAAAAACATATCACCCATAATATCACCATCCTGGCATATGGGTATATACTTGTGTATAATTTTCCCAGCATAAAATAAATATAAAATTTTATATCTCATTTTCTCCAACCCACATTACAATGTCTTTTTTTCTTTGTGATGGGGTCTTGCCATGTTGTACAGGCTGGTTTTGAACTCCTGGTCTCATGTGATCCTCCCACCTTGGCATCCCAAAGTGCTGAGATTACAGCCGTGAGCCACCACACCTGGCCAACATTACAATTTTAAAAACATTTTAAAAAACATTTCTTGTAAAACTTATTAAGGATAGCATTTTAATGGCAGGCTATTTCACTTGGGGGTTACTAAAATATATTAATCATATGTCTATTTGTTTATACTTTTGCACTGTTAATAAATCTGCAATAGATACCATTAGACATACATTTTTATTTTTATTTTTCCTTGGTTTAGATTCTAGATGCTGAATTATAGGCTCAGAGTATGAATATGCTCATGATTCTTGATGCATTTGCAAATTGCTTTCAAAAGAGGTTTTATCAATTTATACAATCATCAACAATATCTGAGGGGTCTGTTTCATATAATCACCACCAACAAACTAAAGTGGTAAAGTTTTGAAATGATTCTCATGATAATTTCATTGAATAATGGCCCCCTACTTTAGTAGGTAAAGTACAGATACAAGATGAATAAAAAACAGATGCTATACTGAAGATGATAAACGGAAGAGCAGTGTCATTTAAACCAGGTGAGTATTAAAAAATAAAAAAACCCTTAAATGATGCTCCAAACCACAATTTCCAATGATGTATCAGTGGACTGCTAGGAAACAAAAAAATGGCTGTCACATAAACTGGAATATAGCAATCACAAACAGGGTAGCTTTCTCAGAAGAAAAGACTTTGGCAGATTTGAGTCTCAGGCTAAACTCCAAACAGCTCCAGGCATACTGCCTATTCGAAGGGTGCACTTTCTATGCAAATGCCACAGAAAGCACTGTTGCCCTATGTTGGTCTTGTCAGCTCTACTCATAGATGCTCTATGTGAGAATAATGCTATTATTTTCTAATGTAGCAATAAATAGGAGCTGACACAAACCAAATAGCTGTTTATTGAATAAGAGAGGGGGAATACCACATTTAATGAGCACCTGCAAAGAACCAGACCCTTTCACATTGGTCTTGTCCATTTCATAAGCCTGGGTCCAGTGTGCTGGCCCTTCAGCCTCACACTGCAGTTTTGAAAAACACATTCCAGGGGAGCAGAGCGACTGAGCTCTGGGATCCCATGGCTGTGGCTCCCTGCGCTTCTGAGTTTATCCTGGCCGCTTCATCTCTCTAGGAGTTATGGAATAGCAGTGCTTCTACACCTCAAAAATGACAAAAAAAGTATTTGTGAAGCACCACTAATATGCTAACTGCTGATTCATGGCAAATGGGTGGTTATTCACCTTCCTTACTGGAGGATTCTTGTATCTAGGTAGTACTTTCTTTGAAAATTACTGCAGCTTTTAACATTATGCATTATAATCTTTGATATATATATATATTTATCAATTTCAGCAACTTGTTGTGAGGTTATTAGTATATTTATATGACACTCTAGAAAAATGGACCAATTCTTGATAGGTAAAAATATGATCAGGCTGGGCGTGGTGGCTCATGCCTGTAATCCCAGCACTTTGGGAGGCCGAGTGGGAGACTGAGGCGGGTGGTCAGGAGTTTGAGACCAGTCTGGCCAAGATGGTGAAACCTTGTCTCTACTAAAAATACAAAAATTAGCCAGGCACAGTAGCAGGCATCTGTAATCCCAGCTACTCAGGAGGCTGAGGCAGGAGAATTACTTGAACTCGGGAGGTGGAGGTTGCAGTGAGCCAAGATGGCACCACAGCACTCTAGCCTGGGAGACAGAGCAAGACTGTCTCAAAAAAAAAAAAAAAAAAAAGAAAAGAAAAAAATTAAGTGTGGCCATTTTTAAGATTTTAAAGGTAAATTTCTGATAACTGTCTGTGACTAATCTTAGTTGAATAAATGCTTGTGAATTATATGGACAGCAGAGCCTGGGCTACTGAGCATATTCAGGGGTGGAGTTCCAGCCCTGCCACTTGCCAGCCTGGTCAGTTACCTTCCTTACCGACCTTCCTTAGCCTATTTCCTCAACTGTAACTGGGGCAGAATAATAAACACATTATTGAGAAAGCGCATCTAACATTCAACACAGGGCCTGGCACACCATAAATGCACAATAAATATTAGCTATGTTTTTCTCAACCATATGATGGACTCTCTAATAATAATGTTATTATTTGTATATAATATATAACATATATAATGTAATAACACAAATTATACATATATTATTATACATAATTTTTTTTTGAGATGGAGTCTCGCTCTGTTGCCCAGGATGGAGTGCAGTGGCTCACTGCAACCTCCAGCCTCCGCAGCGTTCAAGCAATTCTCGCGCTGTCTCATCCCAAGTGCTAAGGACTACAGGCCACAGGGTCACGCCATACCTGGCTGTAATTTTGTCCATTGATTTAGTGTAGAGACAGGGGGGTTCGCAGTGTCTGCCATGGCTGGGTCGTCAAAGCTCCTGGAACCTGCAGGTGATCTGCCCTCCTTGGCCTCCCAAAGTATGCGGGGATTATAGCGGCATGCGCTACCACATCATGGCTATTTCATTTCTCGATACATCATGTTAACCTTTAAATTTTCAACATTGGGTTATTTAGGAGTCAAGGTGATTACATTCCACGACATGAAACGATTTGTAGGAGTGGGCTGTGGGCCACAGTGGCTCATACCTCAATCAATCCCGACTGCTTCTGCGGAGGCTGAGGCAGGCATTCACTTGCAGGTCTCTAGGAGGCCTTTGGACCAGCCTGGCCGAACACCAGCAAGACTGTCGCATCTCTATGCGACATCTCTGTATGGAAAAAAAATTGTTAGACAAATTATCCAGAACATGGTGGCATATGCCTGCGCTTGAATCCTAGCTACCTGCAGGGAGGCTTGAGGTGGAGGACGACTTGAGCCACGGAGTTCAATGTTATTCCACCCTAATCAGCAGAGCAAGGATCCCTGGCACTATTTAAAAAAAAGAAAAGAGAAGAAAACATTTATGGAGGCCAAAGGGGATGGGTATGTGTGATGACTCTCTCTCTACTGTATGTCTGGGCGCCCGTTGTGCAACCGCCTATGCCATGCACTGGGTCTCTGTGCATGTTGTGTGTGTCTAATGTGTGTGGAGTTTGCACAGTACGGCTTGGCCAAGTGGGGACCCCTGTCTCGTACAAAAGTACAGCGATGTAGTCCCGCGGTGGTGTACGATGAGCTATCAGGACTCGGGACTGTGCGAGGCTGGTTGATCACGGAACCCCAGGAAGTGGAGGTTTGCAGGTGAGCCGAGATGTGCCACTGCACTCCAGCGCCTGGGTGATGGAAGAGGACTCCATCTCAAAAAAAAACAAAAAAACAAAAAAAAAAAACTACTTTTACCGTAATTATCCTGTATCACCCGCATTTAATGTTCATGGAAATAATGTTACCTTATTTCCAATGGACCTCTCTTTCATCATTGACTCCTGGTAAATATGTGTGACTTAAGTTACTTTGGGTGTTCAAGAAATGTGGCCGGGCACAGTGGCTCACGCCTGTAATCCCAGCACTTTGGGAAGCCGAGGCAGGTGGATCACCTGAGGTCAGGAGTTCGAGACCAGCCTGACCAACATGGTGAAACCTCATCTCTACTAAAAACACAAAAATTAGCCATGTGTGGGTGGCACACACCTGTAATCCCAGCTACCCAGGAGGCTGAGGCAGGGAGAATCGCTTCAACCTGGGAGGCAGAGGTTGAGCCAAGATCGTGCCACTGCACTCCAACCTGGACAATAGAGTGAGACTCTGTCTTAAAAAAAAAAAAAAAAAAAGAAAGAAACCTAGAAGGAAGAAAGAGGTGATCACCCTCAAGGAAACACAAAACTATAATCCTAAGATAACTGATAACTTTTCCTGTCGCTTTTGAGTAGCAGTGGGGCATCCTTGATGACTGAGAGGGAAGGATACCACTCATAGGACAGAAGACTGCCTTGGCAGAGTCTGTTTCTCTTTCTCCTGTGGAATCAGTCTGGAGAAATCTTCTACTCTCCTGATGCTGCAATTACTTTTCTACCTCACAGACTGGGGACACTGAGGGGCTTCTAATAATGTGGCTATTGCTTTTTTAATTTTTTTATTTTTTTAGATTGGGTCTTGCTCTGTTGCCCAGGCTGGAGTGCAGTGACACGATCTCAGCTCACTGCAACGTCCACCTCCCAGGTTCAAGTGATTTCTGGCTAATTTTTGTATTTTCAGTAAAGATAGCGTTTCACCATGTTGGCAAGGCTGGTCTCGAACTCCTGACCTCAAGTGATCCACCCACTTTGGCCTCTCAAAGTGCTAGGATTACAGGTGTAAGTCACCACACCCAGCCAGCTATTGCTTAATTAAGCATCTTCCTTAAATCTTATGTAGAAGTACTGGCCCATACCATTCTCTGTGTGACACTGACTAGCTATGTAGCAAAGGACCAAAGTCAAATAAAGAATGACAAATCCTCCTAAAGGTAACCTGAACTTCATGCTTCAAAAAGGTCACATTTCACAGATATGTTTGAGAAGCATTAATACAGCTATTTTAAATTGTAATAATAAAGACTGTATCACTCTTTTGAAAGCAGTAAAGATGGGTATGATACAACGGATCATCACTAGTGGAGCCTGGACTCTGTGTCAGGTACTCCATCTTCATTCTCTCTAATCCTTATAGCAACCTAACAAGGTAGGACTATGATTGTACTTTAAGGTAATTTTGCTCATTTTACAGACAAGGAATCTAGGATCCAGAGGGGTTAATACTCCCCTAGTAATAAGGGCCAGTGCTGGGATTCAAACTCAGCCCCATTTGACTTCAAAGTCCCTGCCGTTCCCATTTGGTCCTCTTTTATCCTGGTTATGCCTAGGGATTGTCACTAGGTAGGTTCTGCTTGGTGAAGAACTAATTAGGAATTGAACTTGGATAGCACTGTCAACTTTCACAGCAAGCTTTGTACCATAAACTGTGACAAGAACCCGATGGCTCCATGGGGTAGGTCTCTTGGCAGAGTATCTAGGAGGGAGACCAGAGTAATCTCAGCTATTATAAGCTCTGCCCTGTCTGTGGAGAGTTCTAAATGTCCATGAAAGACAACAGTTAAGGGACCTGAGAGGGCCTGGAAACTCTTAACCTGCAATATGGAGACGTATACATGGAAAAATTCTCTTGCTAGAAAGGGAAGGATGGATGTGGCAAGAATGCAAGTGGACACCAGCCTTCAGGCCCATGGAAGGAAGCCAGGTTCAGATGCTAATGAACAGCTCAGAACAGTGTCAACAACCAGGAGCTGGGGCCATGGAGAGTTGAAAGAAACAGCACTATACAGGGGGTTAAGTCTGCCAAATATAGCAAATCAAAACATACGATGCTCAGCTAAATTTGAATTTCAGATAAACAACGAATTATTTTCTAGTGTAAGTATGCCCACGCACCATTTTATCTGGCAACCTTAGCAGGGGGTGACTTCCTGGGCTGCATTTGGAGACTAACAGTAGGGAGCACTCCCTCCATGAGGCCTTGGAACAATGTATACAGGATGGGTCATGCTGTGGGTGGATGTCAGTGTAGAAAGTGGACTTGGGAAAGCTTACCGTCTTAATAGGGAGCCATGTGGTCCCTATTGAACCCAGGAGGTGGAGGTTGCAGTGAGACAAGATCACACCACTGCACTCCATCTTGGGCAACAAAGTGAGACTCCATCTCAAAAAAAAAAAAAAAAAGAATTCACTTTCTTTTTCAATACTAGAAAAATGGAAACAACACTGCTTGAACTACTACTAAAAAATGATACCAGGGCCAGGCTCAGTGGCTCACACCTATAATCTCAGCACTTTGGGAGGCCAAGGCAGGAGGACTGCTTAAGCCCAGGAGTTCAAGACCAGCCAGGGCAACAAAACAAGACCCCATCTCTACTAAACATTTTAAAAATTAGCTGGTTGTGGTGGTAGATGCCTGTAGTACTATCTACTCAGGGAGAATAAGGTGGGAGGATCCCTTGAGCCCAGGAGTTTGAGGATGCAGTGAGCTATGATTGTGCCACTGCACTCCAGCCTGGACAACCGAATGAGACCCTGCCAATCAATCAATCAATCAACCAACCAATGAAATGTACCAGGTAGTTTGGGGGTCCCTGGTAACTCAAGTCCCTTGTCCTTGTCGTAGGTGATCTCTGTAGAGTAATATTCTCAATCTACCAGAAGAATGACAGCATTTTACCCACAGTAGTACTTCTTTTAAAATTGGAATCGATCCTCAACCCTGACACTGCTTTATCAACTAAATTTATGTAATATTCTAAGTATTTTCTTGTTATTTCAACAATGTTCACAGCAATTTCACCAGAAGTAGAGTCCTTCTCAATAAGCCACTTTCTTTGCTAATCCATGAGAAGCAACTCCTTAACCATTAAAGTTTTATCATCAGATTGCAGCAATTCAGCCAAATTCAGGCTCTAGTTCTCTATTTCCATCACATCTGCAGTTACTTTTTCCACTGAAGTCTTGAACTCCTAAAAGTTATCCATAAGGGTTGGAATCTACTTCTTCCAAACTCTGGTTAATGCTGATGTTTTGACTCCTCCCATGAATCGTGAAAGTTTTAAGTGACATCTAGAATGGTGAATCCTTTCCAGAAGGATTTTAAACCATTTTGCCCAGATCCATCTGAGGAATCACTTGCTATAGCAGCTATAGCCTTATGCAATGTCTCACCTCTTTTCTTCTCTTCTCTTTCTCTCTTTTTTTTTGACAGAGTTTCACTCTTGTTGCCCAGGCTGGAGTCCAATGGTGTGATCTTGGCTCACTGCAACCTTCACCTCCTGGGTTCAAGCGATTCTCCTGCCTCAGCCTCCCGAGTAGCCAGGATTATGGGTGTGTGCTGCAACACTTGGCTAATTTTTTATTTTTAGTAGAGATGGGGTTTCACCATGTTAGCCAGGCTGGTCTCGAACTCCTGACCTCAGATGATCCACCCGCCTCAGCTTCCCAAAGTGCTGGCATTACAGGCATGAGCCACCATTCCCGGCCTGAAATGTATTTCTTAAATAATAAGATTTGAAAGTTGAAATTAGGGCAGGGTGGATCGCCTGGGCTCAGGAGTTTGAGACCAGTCTGGGGCACCTGACAAAACCCTGCCTCTACCAAAAATACAAAAAAAATTAGCCAGGTGTGGTGGCATGCACTTGTAGTCCCAGCTCCTGGGGAAGCTGAGGTAGGAGGATCACTTGAGCCTCAGAGGTGGAGGTTGTAGTGACCTGAGACTGCACCACTGCATTCAACCTGGGTGACAGGGTAGGACCCCATCTCAAAAAAAAAAAAGTTGAAATTGCTCATTGATCCACAGGCTGCAGAATGTTGTGTTAGCAAGCATGAAAATAACATTAATCTCCTCGGTCATCTCCATCAGAGCTCTCGGGCAACTAAGTGCACTGTCAATGAACAATAATGTTTTGAAAGGAATTTTTTTTTTTTTTTTTTAGCAGTAGTCTCCACAGCAAGCTTAAAATAGTAAACCATGCGACTGGGTGCAGTGGCTCACACCTGTAATCCCAGGACTTTGGGAGGCTGAGGTGGGCAGGTCACCTGAGGTCAGGAGTTTGAGACCAGCCTGGCCAACATGGTGACACTCCATCTCTACTAAAAGTACAAAACTTGGCCGGGTGTGGTGGCAGGCACCTGTAATCCCAGCTACCCAAGAGGCTAAGGCAGGAGAATCGCTTGAACCCGGGAGGCGGAGGTTGCAGTGAGTCGAGATCACACCACTGCACTCCAGCTGGGCAACAAGAGCGAGATTCAAAAACAAAAAACAAAAAACGGTAGCTCACGCCTGTAATCCCAGCACTTGGGGAGGCTGAGGCGGGTGGATCACCTGAGGTCAGAAGTTTGAGACCAATCTGACCAACATGGAAAAACCCCATCTCTACTGAAAATACAAAATGAGCTGGACGTGGTGGCGCATGCCTGTAATCCCAGCTACTTGGGAGGCTGAGGCAGGACAATCAGTTGAACCCGGGAGGCAGAGGTTGTGGTGAGCCGAGATGGTGCCATTGTACTCCAGCCTAGGCAACAAGAGCGAAACTATGCCTCAAAAAAAAAAAAAAAAAAGTAACCCATGCTCTAAACAGATGTACTGTCATCCAGGCTTTGTTGTTCCATTTATATAGAGCACAGGCAGAGTAGATTTAGCATAATTCTTAAAGACCCTAGGATTTTCAGAACGGTAAATAAGCACTGACTTCCACTTAAAGTCACAGCTGTGTTAGCCCCTACCAAGAGAATCATCCTGTCCTTTGAAACTTGAAGCCAGGCACTGATTTCTCTTCTCTAGCTATGAAAGTCTTAGATGGCATTTCCTTCAAATAAAAACTGTTTAATCTACAACAAAAATCTGTTTTTTAGTTTAGCCACCTTCATCAATTATCTTAGATCTTTTGGATCACCTGATGCTTTATCTTGCACTTTTTTGTTACAGAGATGACTTTGTTACTTAAACCTCATTAACCAACCTCTGCTCACTTCAAACTTTTCTTCTGTAGTTCCTCACCTCTCTCAGGCTTCAGAGAACTGAAGACAGCTAGGACTGTGATCTGGATTAGGCTTTGCTTAAGGGAATGTTGTAGCTGGTTTGATCTGTCCAGACCACTAAAATGTTTTCCTTATCAGCAAGAGGGCTATTCTGTTTCTTATCATTTGTGTACTCACTGGAGTAGCCCTTTTAATTTTCTTCAATAACTTTCCCTTTGCCTTCACAACCTGGTTAACTGTTTGGTGCAAGAGGCCTAGCTTTTGGCCTATCTTGGCTTTCGACATGCCTTCCTGACTAAGCAAAATCATTTCTAGCTTTCGATTGAAAGTGAGAAACGTGCAACTCTTCCTTTAACTTGAACACTTAGAGGTCACTGTGGGGCTATTAATTGGCCTGGATTTCAATATTGTTGTGTCTTAGAGAATTGGAGGTGCAAGGAGAGAAAGAAAAATGGGGGAACAGCCGATCCGTGGACATCAGAACACACAGGACATTTACGGAGTAAGTTTGCCATCTTACACAGGTGCAGCTCATGGCTCCCCAAGACAATTACAATAGTAACATCAAAGATCACTGATTACAGATCACCATAACTGAAATAATAATAATGGAGGGCAGGTGCAATGGCTCATGCCCATAATCCCAGCACTTTGGTTGGCCAAGGCAGGCAGATCACTTGAGGTCAGGAGTTTGAGACCAGCCTGGCCAACAATGGCGAAACCCTGTCTCTACTAAAAATACAAAAACAATTAGCTGGGCGTGGTGGCACATGCCTGTAATTCTAGCTACTCGGGAGGCTGGGGCAGGAGAATTGCTTGAACCTGGGAGGCAGAGGTTGCAGTGAGCCACGATCACACCACTGCACTCCAGCCTGGGCGACAGAGTGAGGCTCTGTCTCAAATAATAATAGTAATGGAAAAGGCCGGGTGCAGTGGCTCATGCCTGTAATCCCAGCACCTTGGGACGCCTAGGCGGGTGGATAACCTGAGGTCAGGAGTTCAAGACCAGCCTGGCCAACATGGTGAAACCCTGTCTCTACTAAAAATAGAAAAACTAGCCAGGTGTGGTGGTAGACGCCTGTAAACCCAGATACTCAGGAGGCTAAGGCAGGAGAATTG